CCCAGGGGAAAGTTATTTTTGACTCTGGCTTATAAATTTTCTTAATGCACAAGAGAAGATGCCAAGGGTAATGCACCTATTTCAAAAGAGTTTTGAGAACTAGAACTTTGGAAGCAAAATAGAAAACTGTCCCAAATCCAAAGTGCTCAATAAATGTTTAATTATGTTAGCACTGATTGCAAAGCCCGATAGAGATACATTAGTCTTGCTTTCAACCATCTATTCCCCTTTTATTTGCAAGAAATTCCAGATAAATAACACTGCACATCGCTCTTGATTAAACATTTACACAAATAACTCTCTTGCTACTGCTGTTTTTGATTCAAGTCTGAAAAGCCTAGGGCCTAGGTACTTGTGGTTAAGTTTAACTTCCTGCAAAGGTATTTTGTATCTTACACTGGCACAGTTCTTCAGGGAAACGGAGAGTTCCTTTTGAGAGTAGTTTCGGCAGAGTCCGTGATATCCTAGGTAAGTTGATGCGAGATGTTTTATTTCATGCCCCACATATTTACTCCATAAACTAGCTAACAAATGAGGTTTGAATAGTCTACTGGGGGGAAAGGAGTGTTGGGAGAAGTTGGAGGGAGAGTTGGGGAAAGGCTGGACCCTGCCCTGTTGGTGACAGAGAGAACAGAGTCTCCACTGCAGAGACTGCAGATAACCTGAGTTTGCAGCTCAAGGGCTGGACAGAACTGAGCTTGCCAGCAGGAAGTTTCTCCAGAGAAATACATGGATCTGCACAGCCCACAGCATCTTCCTAGAGAAGCACCCTGTGGTGGTGGCTATATGATTTTTTTTTAAAGATTTTATTTATTTATTTGACAGAGAGAGACACAGTGAGAGAGGGAACACAAGCAAGGGGAGTGGCAGAGGGAGAAGCAGGCTTCCTGCGGAGCAGGGAGTCCAATGTGGGGCTCAATCCCAGGACCCTGGGATCATGACCTGAGCCGAAGTCAGACGCTGAATGACTGAGCCACCCAAGCGCCCCTGGCTGTATGATTTTGAATACTTTTTTTTTTAAGCTAAGGAAACCACCGAAGTCCGTTTTAAATAAAATAATTTTTGTTTTATTTTTAGTAACCAATTTACTGAACACTTTGAACCTGATGGGCTGCCAACATGGTTATATAATTTTTCCCCCTAGTATCACTATGTTTGACTGTCATTTTTCTCTTTTCTTATTTGGTCACCAATATTCTAATTCTGCCTAGCCTGTCCAGTGTCTCCCAGCCCTGGCCAGGCTTCAGTCTCAGGGGCCAGAAGAGAAGGAGCAAGACCTATTCTTTTTTACTGTTCCTCTAGGTTTCTGCTGCTTCAGGGTTGGGACAGGGGAGGGAGAGTTAATGGGAACACATTCTTTTTCTTCACAAGTGCAATTGTAGTGTGTCCTTGATTTTTTCTTTCCTGTGTGTGTGTGTATTGGGGGGCGGGTAAGTCCCTCAGTGTAGACTCTCATATGTTCATATGTCCTTCAGGAGGTCACTCACTAGGTTGTTGTCTGACTCAGAAGATGTCCACTGGCTGACCTCCCTCATGCCTGGTTCGGTGGCGTACACCCCAAAGTCTTTTGCTGCTTGGGTTGTTGTGCCTTGTAGGTGGCCTTCTTGGGTCCCGTCAGGGTGGCTGAAGCTCAGCCGCCTTGACAGTGGTCTGTTTGCCCCATGGGAATGTGATGCATCCTTGCCCCCCGCTCCCGAGGTGGGGGGGGCGCTGCTTGTCAGTAATTCACTGCAGACCATTTTGTTTTTACTCTGCTCAAATACTCACAGATGGCAAAGGGTAAGTCCACTGCACAGACATCCAATAGGAAGAAATAACAGTTTTCTAATCTCTGCAATTGGTTTGGGAGAGGTGGATTCAATCCTTAACATTCCTATCCATTACTCACTTCTCCCGGGCCAACCCCTGAATCCATCTTCTTCTGTTTATTTACTTTGGAGGCTGCAGAAGAAAGTTCTGCCACTAGCCTCATAATGGGTCCTGCAGAGGTTTGCCAGGTGGGTTTTTAGAATATGGGTGCATTTCATCTGTTGTTTTCAGTTTTGGAGCTTTAGCCTCGTTCTAGGAGAAAAGGAAAAGTCCTTTCAACATCTGGCTACATTTGGTTTGAGGGGACTAGAGAAACTCACTAGTTTTGCCACTTTTCTTCATACCCTAAAGACAAAATTATTTTTTTGTGTGCCTGAACTAGATTTTAAATGAAAAACAAAACAAAACAAAAACACAAAAAAAAGCCTTTTGTCTACAAATAAAGATCTTCTGAATATTCAGTTTAGGTGGTGGTCAATGGGGAAGAAAGCAGCTCTCAAGAACCCCAGACTGGCATTGGCGGTCCAGCCAGCTCACCATCTCTAATCTCTACCCTCACTGTATGGGGCTTCGAGAACAAGCTCAGGAAGAATACATGATGGTAGTGAAGGTTTTCTGTTAAAAACTCAACTCTGCAGCTTTTCAGCAAGATGTATAGGTCATTACCCTTAAGGTTTCAAATTTCCTCAGTTTAGCCACACCGGTCTTGTCCCACTGTTGTCTACCTTTTGCTTTGTGAAGCGATGGGAAAAATCAAACATGCTTCTATTTGCAGTCTACTCCAGGGATTCTAGGAGATGAAATGTGGCTTAAGTTCCCTGGGTAGGGTATATGGTAATGAGAGCTGCCATTTATTGAGCATTCAATGGTACCAGACATGTTCTGGAAACTCAGTGAGTCTCCTTATCAATCCTTTTCTGTAGGCATGGTTGCCAGTCTCCTTTTACATATGCGGCACCTAATGGACAGAGAGGTTAGGGCACCTGCTTAAGGTCACATAACTCGGACGGGGCAGAGGTAGAGATTGATCCTGGGCATCCTGGCTCCACAGCCTCTACTCTTACCCACTGTCATGTTGCCATAGGAATCTGTGAGCAGTGATCTCTTAAATAGACATTTGTCATGATCTCTTTATGAAGAATTAAGTATTCTCTTAGCTTCTCAAGTTACTAAAAGACAGGTTTGAACTTTGCCAAAATAAATTTTATAATCTCGCAGTTTTTAGTTTGTGAATCTGATTTTTTTTTGTTTTTGCTTATTAAATAATTTTTGTTCCCCATCCCAACAGTGAACAAAAAGTTTCCTCTGTAGTCACTTTAGTGAATAGGCTTATACGTCTTCTGGTCCATGGGTGAAGAAAACAGGATCAAAAAAAAAAAAAAAAAAAGAGATACCAATCCACACAGATAGTGGCAGAGCTGAAACCAGAACTCAGGACTGTTTCTAGTATTGGCTATTTAAGGGTGCAATTTTTATTGATTTCAAATGTTTTATTGTGCATTACGTACTGGGTTCTGTATTAGCTTGGGACACAGAAATTAGATATGCTACCCTTACTAAAGAAGTTCAGTCTAGTTGGGACCACCCATGGAATGAGTGCAGAACGACTTAGGTATGATAAGACCATCCTATGTGACATAAAAAGATGACATGCTCAACTCAGCCTGTGCCTACTTCAGAGGCAATGCTTGAGCTGGATTTTGAAAAATAAGAGTTGGTCAGACTGAGAAAAGGGGAAGGCATATTCAGAACTAGCATGTACAAAGCCATGAAAAATGTTTGGACAATTGCAAGCTCAGCAGAAGTGAAGAGGGCCTGGGGTGGGAGGTGAGGATAAAGAGGAATGCAGACAGGGAAGCCCTACAGGGGTTTTTACACTGAAAGCCATAAAGGGCTTTACATTGAGGAGCAACATTTGATTTGAAGTTCAGAACCTTCATTCTGTCTTGCACTGGAGCCAAGAAATCAAATTCTAAGGGAGTCGTAATTCAGACCTAAAAGAGAGTAGTGGCAGTAGGAATGAAAAAGAAGCAAAAACAGGTAATTTTAAGAATGCTGTTCAAGTTTCATGTGAAAATCAAACAAAAGACATGAAGAAAAGGCATGGAAGTTAAATTTTCCTTAGCCTATTGCTTGTCATTTGATGTGCCAATTCCTGTTAGGCACACCCTCATCTGTCTGGATATTTTCATGGTTACTGTCAACTCTGACTTCCAGCAACTGATTGCTAATCCTATGGTTCCTAGAATCTTAGATGTCTTGCATGGTCCTTTACCAACAGGCGCCAATATACCCTCCCTCGCCTTTTCCGTGTTCCTTGGCCCCACTACTTCTCACCTTTTCCTAAGTGACTATTTTATAATGTGTACTGCTCTTTTATCTCTGGAGTTCTTAACAAAAACCTTGCTCCTCCTTTAGGCTGACAAAATGCTATTCAGCCTTATCACTGGTGGAAGTTTCCAGAAGGAATGTATCACACCTTTACTTCCATGTCCTAGAAGAGGCCTGATAGTTGTTGAGAGGGTTAAATGTTTTACTACTAAGTTCCTTGCATAAAGGGCCCAATAAAAGTTCTTAAGCACATACCGTAAGTACATAATTCCAGTACAATGTGATAATTTATATACAGCATTTATTGTGTTGGAATTATATGCTTATGTATATTCCCCCATTTTAATTGTATGTGCTTTGAGGGTATAACTATTACAACGATGTATGGGATGTTGCAGGTATCAATTACTTTCACAACATTTCATGGTTCTTGATATGGAAGTAGTTATTAACATTTTTTTAATCTCCACTGTTCCCTCCCCGTTATATACTGGCCCATTTTATATACTCTCCCTTATAAAATAAATGATTACAAAAAGCAAGAATTTAGAGAACAGATGTTACACTTGGTTAGGAATTCTCAATTGTCATCTGAAGACGTTCAGCCTTTCCCAGATATGGTTCTTACTTGGAACTTTAATAGAACTCTTTCAGTTCGAAGACATGGAAGGAGCTTATTTAAGTAAATATCTTAAAATTATATGGTTTTGGTATTTAATAACCATCTGGGATGGGTATTTCGTACAACCCTGTCCACTTAGTTCTTGAATCCAACGTCTTTTGCTTAGCACAAAAAAAACATAGAAATGCTGTGAAAGAAATGTTTTTGTTCATTTGAAAAATAAAATACCAACTCTGCATTTTGTTAAGATTCATTTTATAAAATACCTTAAAAGAACAGATAAAGTACTTGAGTTTACATAATAATCAGAATTGAAAAAAGATGAATATAAATTAATTGAACACATAACTATTTTGCCACATTAGACAAGTCTTAAAAAGGCATTTAAAAAAAATAGTAATTGGGAAGAAAACCCTTCACTCTATTGCTGTCTTTTTTTGGAAACTTTTCCTAGAAGCACTGAAATCCCAGGTCAACAGGCGGTACCTGTGTTGTTGAAAACACACTGTAATTTGCTTCCAAATCTGTCAGCTTAAGAGAAAAAATTAAAGTTTTAACCAGGTTCGATAATTCAGTGCAAATTTGAAAATTCAAGAGGAAAAGTAATGTCCAAACTGTAGGAAATGCTTCTGGAACTGAAAAAGAAAAAAATTCACATTATGAAGAAATCTTTGCAAGTGTTCTTGTGTGTGAGATATTGAGTTAACAAATGGGCCCTTTGAAGTTGCAATTAGGGCTTTAGTAAGACTATCTGCAATGTGGGCAAGGGAAAATGAACAGGGAAGACCTAAATGTCATTTTGTGGAAGGAAGCTCAAGTTAACCATAAGCACTGCTCTGATTAATTCTAGAAAATTTGGACAGGATATTGCAGACATCAAGGGGAAAAAAAGAAATTATGGAGACTAATTTACTAGACTATCATTGAGGATAAGTACTTCTATCCCCAGAACATGTTGGGGGATGGGGGAGAGCAAGTTAGTGTTGGCCATGATTGGTTTTAATTATATGGATTATATGGTCTACTGGCTTAAAAAATAATTACCAAGTCTTGAGAAATGGGAGGAATGTCTAACTTTCTAGATCACAGTGAAACCAAGTATTGATCATTTCCAACCATTAATGAGTAGTCATTTTTATAATTAAAGTATTTTTAATTATATCCATTAAAAAAATTTTTTTTTTGAGTTTGGTAGTCATTGGTAATATGTAGCAATGGGATTTTCATGACCACATTTGATAGAAAGTTTCCTTCTTTCCATTCCATAGAAGTTTCTGATTCTTTTTAATGATAAAACTAATGGTTGCTATTGAGTACAAGTTGCAGAGATTTTAGTGGAGGCTAGTAAGTCTTCTTTGCAAAGTAGATTTTTTAAAAAAAAATGTAGGTCTAAATTTATATCATCAGTCTTTTTCTAATTCTCACTGGAAATTTTCACATATTATTTGAAAACTGAGGATGAACTATGTTTTTCTAACATTTGTATTTTACATCACTCTCTATTAAAGTTAAAATGATGTTATCACAATGAAGTGGCAACTTTTGGCTTTTAGTTGTACCTATGATTGGCAAGTCATAAAAAACACAAAACATACAGTGCTATTCCAACGTGCCATCGGAGACTGACAGAAAAAGAAGTGAATAATCATGATGATGTACATGAAGTTCCTAAATCAATGAAGAATTAGCTGATGCCATTCGTAAGTGTACAAAACTGCACTCATATACCTGCTCACAGGTGGAACATCTAAGGAAAAGTCAAAATTCCTCTCTGGGGACACCACTGACCAGTGCAGAATCACCTGAAGAAATTAAAACACCCAAGCCCGTGGACTCCTTGCAAGTACCTCCTATCGTGATAGCCAAACCCTCAAGGGCACATGTCGCACGTCACTGCAAAACAATGCATTGGTTCTCCTCCCCTGGTTAACTTGGTGACCCCTCCAGGCTTGCACACTGATTTCCTGGGTCCTGCTAGGTGTTTGGTCCTGTCCTTTCAAATCCTGAAGAGAGGCTCACTAGCAGATGCATCCTTGTACATCACACCAGGTGTGAGGCTGAAAGAGGAGCGGCAGAAATGCGCACCACCCTGCAGTGAGTCCATATTTAGAAAAACTGCTGTGGGCTCAAGCATTTCACACAGACCTGGGTTTTGTCCCATTTCTCCACGAACTTCTCATTAGGCTTTGTCCATCAGAGAGAGACTTTTGCCATCAAAAGCACAGATAAAGAATAACAAGACATTACATCGCAATCAGCTTGTGACAGTTTGTGCTTTAAAAACATAGTGCGTCAAGCACATCAGAGATGCTAAATAAATATTTGTAGCTTTATTAAAAGAATAACATGGTTTCTGAAGAACCAACCTCCATTTTGGAAAAAAAAAAAAAGAAAAACCATATAAATTTCTTTCCCCTGACTGGATGGAACAATGAGAATCTACACATTAAATATGAACTCTGATTTGATTGCAGAGTTTGCCAAAAAGGCGAAAACAGAGAAGAAGAACATTGCCACAGTAGCAACAGCACTTAGCAGTGCGTTGAAGGTTTAACTTTCTCCGCCGCGGTATGAACTGGTTCCTACACCTGTTAGGCACCAGAGTGCAATCACTCACATAGGAAGTGAACTCTCTTCCACTTTGGGAAAGGTACGATCATAATTTTATCTGAAAATCAGGAACATATTTCAGGGAGACGGCCCTCTTCTTCAGCTTGTCTCAAAGTAATGCGGGAGTAAATGCCAGGGGACCTCATCCTATAACCTCAACATGGCATTGTCACGTGCAAGTGTATTCCTCCCACATCTGCAGTAGTTGCTTCCTACTATTTTATGTTTCTACAGAGTAGTGATGCCCCTGGGAGGACAAAGATGAGAATATGCAGGGATAAAGATCACAAAACTTACACTAAAAAGGGATGGTCCTCTATATCATATGAAAAACCCCTTATCAAAAGGCAGTGAGCTCACGGACGAAAAAATGCTTTATACATTCATAATTTTCCCGTCTCACGACAGCAAAGGTTTCCAAAGACAAGACTCAGTAGTGAAGGCCACACTTTTTTTTTTTTTCTTTTTTTTTGCATTAGTTCGATATGTTGAAAATCAGAACCTTGGAAGCATCTTGTAAATGGGAGAAATGGAACTGGACCCGGCTGGGCGTGGGGGCGGGGCGTGATGGAAGGGATCCAAACGAACGTGTGACTCAGCTATTGACGTGGACAGCAGGGGAGTTGGTGGGAAATGTTACAGCAGACCTGACTCCTCTACCAACGGTCTGTCAAGAACACAGTACAAGGATCAAAAAACAAAAACCAAAAACCCTAAAACAAAACTAAAACCAAAAATGAACTGCAACTTTGCCAGCTTGTAAACAAGGAAAAGCATTTCACAGATTCAAAGTTCAAGGGAAGTAAACGTCTTTAAATTATTTTTGTCAGTTCAACCCTGATTTAAAAAGTATGGCTAGCAGAAATAAGGAAGCACAGCCGTTGACATCCTGAGCGAGCAGATGTCTTCTGAGAAGCAGCACTTCCAAGCCTCTTCTCAAGATGCCACGCCGAGGAGACACCTTCTCTCACTTGTCTCTCTTCCACAGTCCTGGAATATCGATTGCTTGCCATGCTGGTGTGGACAGTCCTGGCTGCTATAGATTTAGACGTGGGGAGACTGGAGGAGGGTAGGCGAATTCTCGGAGGATGCTCCGGGCCACTTCCACATTATTCTGGGCTATCTCTAAGGCTCTCTTCACTTCTTCAAAGGCATAACCCTCTCCCATGAGTTTTGCAATTTTTGCATCAACATTTTCCAATGCTGCCTCAGGCCCGTGGGGTTTTCTGTGGTGGATTTCTGGTGCAGTCCTGCGTGGTCGTGGTTTAGGAGGTCTGGCTGGTGCTTGTGAACCATCTGTGTAGATTTTAAAAAGATCATGTAAATAATGGGCTAAAAATAAAGACACCGTATCAGTTTGATCTCATTTTATATGAAAACCCTATTTTTCATTATCTCCATAAATAAACTTGCCCTCCCATTTGAACGTTAAAAAAAACTGAGTTAGAATGTGTTGGAAGTTTGAGAAATTAATACAAATTTACTCCCAATGCCACATGTTATTCTTTAAGCCATATGAAGTAACAGGTAGAGAAGGGGAAAAAAATTGAAAATGAAAGGCTTTCATTATGGGGACACTAGCTTATTCTTTCCTACTATGGTGGAGGATCTTTCTTGGGAAGTTTCTACCAGGGGAAACTGTTACAAGGTTGTCGATATTCCTGGAAGCACATCCCCAGCAGGTCCTCCATCCCACCCAGGCCACAGAACAACTACTTTGAGCAATAGGCTTTGTGGTGTCTCTGCCCGTCTGACTTTTCAAGTTAATAATGCTGTCTGTCACCTGATGCTGGGGTGGGGAGAAAAATAGTATATGCTTCGAGTCTACTGTTAGTTAATAGGCTGAGCAGAAGTAAACTCACTGCTTTGCTCAAATACTTTACCCAGATTCCAAATGTAGGAAGTTTTGCTAGAGAAAAAGCAAAGCCAGCAAAAACATGAGCAACGGAGATTCGGACTCCAGATCAGTCCCCTGATAAGCTTCTCAAAGTTAAATCAAAAGACATTGGTGCCCATGAATGGAGAGTAATCTTACTAAGAGAAAGAATTAGAGACCACTGCCCCTCACAGACCCCAGGGCATGGGCTGGTAACTTGAGAAGGCACTTTTATATCATGGATGTCCATATCTATATTTGGTACTGTTTTTCAAAAGTCTAAATTAAAAAAAAGATTAAAATAAAAATTACCAAATTTATGTCATGCAACACATTTATGGATTTAAGACTATTTAGACATCGACACTTCCTTAATAGCTTTCTCAGAGCACTGACAAATGCCAAATGATAAATCCAAGGACATAGTTAAGTAGATGAGGAAGTGAGGCTACAATCCAAATGCCTTGTGACTCTTGTCCCCATCCTTGCCCTCCTGGTCTCTGCTGCTTTGCCAACTTTCCCAATATCTTCATGAGAAATTGTAAGCTGATATTTTCAATAATAATCAAATCTAAATCAAAAAATTATCTAATACATTCTTTTATATTTTTCTCATAAGTCTTTTTCCATGAGAAGGTAACTTGTCAAAAACATCCTCTTCACAATTCCAGCAGTATAGTAGTATAACATACATACGTGAAAGCCTCCAATATGAACATATTTCGTTCCACACCAAATTGGATGATAGTCTTATTTTTAATCTTTACTTTCTTAAGAATACTGCCCAGTTTGGAAAAATATAGCTATAGATAAAGCTTATTAAATTATGCTCATATACAAGAACACATTAATTTCTGGTTCTTGCTCAAGTCTGTATATACTGTACCTTGCATCTATAAGTAAACATCTCAAGTTACTATGGTCTGCTAAACTACATTTCTTACTATGTTTTCAGGTCCCATTTATTTTCTATTAAGTATTTCCATTATGTCATGCAGAGCTGGACAATAAATTTTACTTTGCTTCTAATCATTTCCATCTAAACTGTTAGAAATTCTAGCAAGCTATCCTTTAATCAATCACCACGGAAGTCATACATTGAAATCTTGTCTGCTCTGATTTACTTTTTGATGAGAAAGAGTACCTACACTTAAATGCAAGTCTAAATTCCCCGTTTTCTACAGGTAAGGCTCAAAGAGTTTTTCTAATACTTTCATTTTGCTTTTGTCCAGAATACTGAGAAGGGCAGATGAATGCCAAGCATCACTGAAAAGAACAGCTAAATATGCTCCTAGAATGGGAAGGATACTATGGTAGCCGGAGACACATCTAATAGTATAATTGGCAATGAAGTTTTAAGATTTAGAACTTTTAAATGTAATAAGGATATGTATTTTTAATTGAAGTATAGTTGACATACAATATATTTGTTTCAAGTGTACAGCAGTAATTTAACATGTATATACATGTTACCATCTGTCACCATACAAAGTTTTTAAAGTATCACTGACTATATTTCCTATGCTGTCCTGATGTTCTAACTGGAAGTCTGCACCTCTTGATCCCTTTCAGCTATTTTGCCCATTCTCCGAACTCCACACAACCACCAGTTCTCTGTATTTATGAGTCTTTCTCTGTTCTTTTCATTTTTTTTAGATTGCACATACAAGTGAAATCATATGGTATTTGACTTATTTCACTTAGCACAATACCCTCTAGGTCCATCCACATTGTTGCAAATGGCAAGATGTCACTTTTTATGGCTGAGTAATATTCCAGTGTGTGTCTCTGTGTGCGTATATACATCTTTATCCATTCATCTATTGAGGGGCACTTACATGGCTTCCACTTCTTGGCTACTGTAAATAATGCTGCAATGAAGATAGAAGTGCATATATATTTTCACATTAGTGTTTTTGTTTACCAGTGTCTTATAGTTTTCAGAGTACAGGTCTTTCACCTCCTTGGTTGAGTTTATTCAGGCATTTTATTATTTTATTTTATTTTGGGGGGGGCTTTTTTGGCATTTTATTCTTTTTGATTCAGTTGCAAATGGAACTGTTTTCTTAATTTCTCTAATAGTCCATTATTAGTATACAGAAATACAACAGATTTCTATATATTAATTCTGTATCCTACAATTTTACTGAATTTATTTATCCTATTAGTGTTCTGGTAGAGTCTTTAGAGTTTTCTATATATGGTATCATGTCATCTGCAGATAGTGACAGTTTTACTTCTTCCATATGAATTTGGATGCCTTTTGTTTCTTGTCTGATTGTGGTGACTAAGACTTTTGGTACTATGTTGAATAAAAGTTGTGAGGGAGAGGATCCTTGTCTTGTTCCTAATCCTAGAGGGAAACCTTTTCACTGTTGAGTGTGATGTTAACTGTGAGCCTGTCATATACAGCTTCACGATGTTAAGGTATATTCTCTACCCACTATGTTGAGAGTTTTTACCATATGAATAGATGTTGAATTTTGTCAAATAAGTTTTCTGCATCTATTGAGATGATCGTATGATTTTATCCTTCATTTTGTTAATGTGCATCACACTGAATTGCAGATGCTGAATCATCCTTGTACCCCTGGAGTAAATTCCACTTGATTGGGGTGAATGATCTTTTTAACCTTATTTTTGAATGTTGTTTGCTAATGTTTTGTTGAGGATTTTTGCATCTATGTTCTTCTGGGATATTGGCCTGTAATTTTATTTTTAGTAATATCTTTTGTCTGATTTTGCTATCAAAGTAATGCTGGTATTGTAGAATGAATCTGGAAATGTTCCTTTTCAATTTTTTGGAATATTTTGAGAAGGGTAGGTATTAACTCTCTTTAAATGTTTGGTAGAATTCACTCATGAATCCTTCTCGTTCCGAACTTGTGTTTCCTGGGAGTTTTTAAATTACTGGTTCAACTTCATTACTAGTAATTTGTTCATATTATCTATTTCTTTCTGATTCAGTCTTGGAGGATTGTGTTTCTAGGGACTTAGCAATGATTTCTTTTAGGTTGTGCAAATTGTTGGCAAATAATATTTTGTAGTAGCCTTTTATAATCCTTTGTATTTCTCAGTTGTAACTTTTCCTCATTCATTTCTGATTTCATTTGAATCCTCTCTTTCTCTTGATTAGTCTGGATAAAGGTTTATCAGTTTTGTTTCTCTAAGAACCAGCTCCTAGCTTTGTTGATCTTTTTTACTTTTTTTTTTTTTTCCCAGTCTCTCTCTCATTTATTTCCACTCTGATCTTTGTTATTTCTTTCCTTCTTCTAACTTTGGGCTTTATTCTTCTTTCTAGTTCTTTAGGTATAAAGTTAAATAGTTTGAGATTTCTGTTGTTTCTTGGGGTAGGCCTGTATGACTATAATCTTCCCTGTTAGAACTATTTTTGCTGCTTCCCACAGATTTTGGAAATTTGTGTTTCCATTTTCATTTGTCTCAAGGTATTTTTTTATTCCTCTTCGATTTCTCCATTGACCCACTTCTTGTTTAGCAGAATGTTGTTTAGTCTCCATGTGTTTGTGTTTCTTCCAGTTCCTGTAATTGATTTCTAAATTGATACTGCTGTGGTCAGAAAAGATGCTTGATGTAATTTCAATCTTCTTAAATTTATTGAGAGTTGTTTTATGGCCTAACATGTGATCTATCCTGGAGAAAGTTCCACGTGCACTTAAAAAGAAGGTATACTTGCTGTTTGGGGATGGAATGTTTTGGATAAATCTTAATTTGGTGTAATATGTTGTTCAATGATACTGTTTCCTTATTGATTTTCTGCATGAATTATCTATCCATTGATGTAAGTGGGGTATTAAAATTTCCTGCTATGATTTCATTAGTGTCAGTTTCTTCCTTTATGTCTATTAATATTTATGTACTTAAATGCTTCTATGTTAGGTACTTAGGTATTTACAATTGTTATATCCTTTTGTTAGACTGATCCTTATATCCTTACATAATGCCCTCTTTTACATCTTTTGTGTCTGATGTCCGCGTTTTTTTTTTGTCATTTTCATGGAATATCTTTCTCCATGCCTTTACTTTCAGTTTGCATGTGTCTTTAAGGTGTGAAATCTCTTGTAGACAGCATACAGATGGATCCTTTTTATCCATTCATTTGCCCTATGTCTTTTGGTTGAAGCATTTAGTCCACTTATATTTAAAGAAATTATTTATAAGTATGTAGTTATTGCTATTTTGTTAATTGTTTTCTGGCTATTTTCATAGTTCTCTGTTCCTTTCTTTTGCTCTCTTCCCTTGTGATTTGCTTGGATTTTCCTTCTAAAGAGAAGTACGTATTTTTATGTATTTTTGAGTATGTATTATAGGTTTTTGGTTTGTGGTTAGCATGAGTTTCATATATAATTCCCTATTTATACAGCAGGTTATTTTGCTTGTCACTTAAGTTTAAACTCATTTT